AGCCCGCGCTCAATCCACTGAGCTACGCCAGCCAGGGCCCAGAAAATGTACTTTTATATAAAAGTTCATTTTGCCCAAGGATACTTTAAAAGTTAGACTTTTCTAGTTTTCTAAGACTATTATTGATATAAAAGATTTTATCTTTTTATGGAGTATAAGATTATTTAATTTTATAGCAGTTCATTGTTAGGGATTCAAATCCATCCTAAGTGTCATAGGCTAGGCTGAATGTGCTTCTGGTGTCACTGTGTGGTAATTTCAAATGGAGCCTATTAAAAGTGCCTCTTGTCCTGGACGCTCTCCCTGTGAGTTATGGTCAGTTTGCCGTAAACCCAGACTTAGGAAACCTTCCTGAGCTGCAGAGCAGCCAGTGAAGAACTGTTGAGTAGCTACTGTGTTTGGAAGATAACAAAATAATAATTAAGTCTTGAATCACTGAGAGGATTAGATGCCCAATATGATGCACTTTTAGCTACCATGCACCTGACAGTGAAAATAACAGCACTGGAGTGGTTGTATTGTAGTACTTATAATTCTACTTAATTGTTATAATATTCCCTGAAATATAGTCTGAGATGGATAGTACTCTATTTCCATTAAGGAAAAAAAAATCCCACATTTCCCTTGATGTGGTTTAAAAAAATAGAAATGGCTTTGAATATAAAACAAAAATTATATTAAACATACCATGAATTCATATCTTTAGTAGAAATTTAGTTTCGTGCTCAGTTTGCGTAAACCCATGTTGCAGACTCATGCTCATACTCATGTAGAAGTACCAAGGGGCCAGTTAATAGTTTGTGCAGCAGATAGCAGTGAAGTCGGTTTTATGCACACGTTGGGCTGAATTTAAATTCCTGCTAAAGATTTGTAAGGATGAAAAACATGATCCTTCAAATTGGAACGTAATTTATCTTGAGATATCTCACTTATTAGTTTCTCTTAGAAACATAAGTATTTTTATTGTCAGCTTGACACAGAAGGAAGGAAAAGTGAACCGAATATGATCTCCTTTCCTAATCTTTTTTTCTTTTTTTAAATATGTATATATTTTTAAAGATTTTATTTATTTATTTTCAGCAAGGGAAGGGAGGGAGGGAGAGAGAGAGAGAGAAACATCAATGTGCAGTTGCTGGGGGGTCATGGCCTGCAACCCAGGTATGTACCCTGGCTGGGAATTGAATCGGTGACCCTTTGGTTCACAGCCCACGCTCAATCCACTGAGCTACGCCAATCAGAGCTTTTTTCTTTTTTAAAAGGTTTTATTTCTTTATTTTTAGAGAGAGGGAAAGGGAAGGAGAAAGAGAGGGAGAGAAATATCAGTGTGTGGTTGCCTCTCATGTGGCCCCCACTGGGGACCTGGCCCACAACCCAGGCACGTGCCCTGACTGGGAATTGAATTGGCGACCCTTTGGTCACAGCCCACGCTCAATCCACTGAGCCACACCAGCCAGGGCCTAATTCCTTTTTCTTTACCAACACATCTCCATCCTCTGACATATCCAGTGCAAGTGCAGGTGCCTCTGCGGCTCATTGAGGCATAATCAATCTGCAGAAGCCCTTCAAGAATTTAAATATTTACATTTGAATATTATGTTACCAGAGGGGAAAGGGGAGGGAATTTCAGGGGGAAAGGGGAAGGGTTTACAGGAACAAGTATAAAGGACACATGGTCAAAAACTGGCGAGGGGGAAGGGGCTGGTGGAAATGGGAGGGAGGTGGGGAGGGGTAGACTGGGGTGGGAGTAAAAGACAGAAAACCGTACTTGAACAACAATTAAAAAAAATGACTTTGGAGTGTATAGTATCCACCTAGTTTAGTATTTATTGGCGGTTGGATGTAATTATAAGTTCTGCGCTGGCCCCTCCACTCACTGTCGGCTTTGAGTGTGAAAGCAGCAGGGGCTCTCTACTTCACCAGTTCCCGTTGCGGGAGAAGTGCACCTGGGAGAGGTGCGGGGGTGCTTTGTCATCAGGAATGCAGTCTGCAGTGTGGAGCAAGCTAAACGATGTAAACGTATGAGAGTCATTAGCAGCCCCAGGTTCCCTTTTTATTTTCCCCTTTGGTCATAACGTGAATGTTTATAAAGAGATACAGAGAAACTGGAAAGTGTTCAAAAGAGCAGTCAAATTTCAATATTGGCAATGCCAGTGTTTTTGTGGGGAAGGGATGCCTTTTGATTTTCCAAGCGAGCTTATATGTGGGGGAAAACTTCTGCCTGAAAGTTAATAGTTTTATGTTTTGGTATTATATCACTAGATGGTTTATTGGAAGGACATTTATTACATTTGATTATGCACATTATGGTTGTCATAGCTGTAATTTATTAAGATTACAACTCATGATGTCAATATAAAATGGATCCAAAGTAATGAGCTGCTGCAAGAAGGCTTAGCTTGGAAGAGGGCTTCCTGATGTTGGCCTGTCTGGTCGGCCGCCAACACGCTGAACTGTTCAGTGTGAAACAGAAATTACTCCTGTGAGGTAAGGAGACCTGCAGTGAGGATTTCTTTTTTTTTTCCCAACAAAATGCACTGACATTCAACAGCATATTATGTTTTATGTGCTTTATTTATTATGTGTTAGGTTTATTGTGCTTGGTAACCTTGATTCATGCCTTCCCAGGACACGGTAGGTCCTCGGTTAATGTGTAATGATAATGAATGATGAGATGGTCTGTAGAAGCCTTGAAACTTTGGAGTAGATTTCCACCCTACTTTATAAAGAATTATGAACCACATTTTTTCAAATGTATGACCTTAAACTGTGTGTGGTATTTCACAGCTATTTCTCATTTAATTAAAAATAGTATGTGAAAAGGAGTAGCTTGCACTGGAAAGATAACTATTGGGCCTCTGGGTATTTTTTTCTTTCTCTCTGATGTTTATTAAAGATTTCTTGCCCTGGCTGAGTAACTCATTTGGCTGGAACATCATCCTGATACTCATGTTCCCCGGGAGAGAACGGAGTCAGGGTCCCCCCACCGCCTAGCGTGTTCCTTGGTTCTTGTCTCGATTGCAAGACACAAATTCAAGCAAGACACAAACCTATATAGTAGAAATGAGATAGCAAGTTTATTTATGAAAGACAAGCGCAAAGTTGCAGGCAGGCACCTGACTAGTCTGAATGCCCCACGTATGGAGGAAATAAAGTTTGTTAGTAAGTTTGTTCTATACACTTGAGCTGAGGCTGCAAGTGGGTACTTAGCTAATTTAGGTACACCCGACTATTGGGATTCGGGGGTTATATACTTGTCAGTTTTTAGGTTCCCCTTCTCCTGCTTCTAAATCTTGGGAATAATGTGCAGCTACAAAGGCTTTCTTTCTCAGTTAGTAAAGGCTCTTTGTCTAGCAAAGTTGCCACAGAGGCTTCCTTTCCCAGCACAGAGTTCAAGGACTCCCCTCCTCCTGCACCATCGCTGCCGTGGTCATGTTCTGTGCACCTGGCACTTGTATCCGACCAGGCTCAGGACTGCTGAGTTAATTGCTGAGACATGACTCCCTTGTGTTTCCAGCCTCCTGTTTTAAGTTCTTCGTTGGATTGTAATGGCAGGGACCCTCCTTTATTTTCCCTCCGGCCGCTTATTTCCATTTGCTACCTACAGTAACACTCAAGGTTGTGAGTTTGATCCCGGGTCAGGGCACATACGAGAATCAACCAATGAATGCATAAATAAGTGGAACAAATTGATGTTTCTCTTTCCCTCTTCCTTTCCCTCCCTCTCTCCCTCCCCTCCCCCATCCCTTCCTCTCTCTCTCTCAAATCAGTTTTAAAAATTTAAACATTGATTTCATTTGTTTTACCGTCTTCCTTTATTTCTCCTTTCCTCAATATATTTACTAATTTGTTCAGTCCTAGTATACACATAAAGTAGTTTTGGAACTGCTAATCCATACCCTTCCAAAAAACAAATTCACAAATAAGAATGCAATATTGTGTTCAATTGTTTTTGTCTTTATACTTATAAAATACTCTTTTCCAAAGTTATTTAGATTAGTTTTTTCCTCCCTATCTCTATAGTATGGTTATATTTCCATTTGTAGCTAAGTTGGTTTACTATTTGCATTTAGTTTTGGGTTTCCCTGACCTTCTGGTGTATTTGAACTATTTATTTTTCAGGAGATATGAAACATCACCATGGTTCTAACAAAGAGGTATACTCAGGGGACTGTTATTTCCTGTTCTCTTTTATTATTCCCATTTCCCCCTTCTCCCATTGCATTTCTGCCTATACCTTGTAGGTGATCAATCTCATTAATTTCTGACTTACCTTGCCTCTTGTTCTTGTTTTTACCTTGCCAAAATGAACAGATATGTGAATATTTTATATTATATTCTTTCTTATGTAAAGGGTGGCATACTTTAGATAGCCTTTTTTTACTTTGATTTTGTAATATACCCAAGAATCACTCCTTACCAGCCAGAGAATTGCTTTCAATTCTTTCTCGCAGCTGCCTAGTTCTGTATTGAGTAAATGTGCCTTAGTTGATTCAGCCTGTGTCCTCTGGGCATTCGAGTTGTTTCTAGTGTTTTGCAATTACAAACTGCTGCAATGAATAGGCTTGAGTTTATATACTTGTGTGTTCTTGTGTATCTTCCGCGTAAATTCACAAGAGGAGTATTTTCTAGGTTAAAAGGTAATTGCGTGTGTTTTATTGTTGGGTATCACTAAACTGCCCTCCAGAAAAGTTGTGTCTGTGGAGGCCCGCCAGCGGCTCTGTGTGAGAGGGACTGTTCGCCGGCAGCCTTGCCAGCGGATGTGCTGTCATCCTTTTTATTTACCCCAGTCCGGTGGGTGAGACCAGGATCTCTCTAACTATGAGTGAGACTGAACATCTTTTCACATGTTTAAGGGCCGTTTTTATATTTCGTTGTGTGCTGTACTTTAAAGGGTTATATCTACTGCACATGTTTTGTTGTTGTTGGGTTATTCACCTTCCGCTTCCCAGGACAGTAACACTTTATAGATACTAGACATTTGTGTGACTCTTCTCTTTCAGATCTCCCATGGTGGCTCATTTTAATTCGGCAGAAAGCACTGGTTGGCAGACTTCCGGGAGACCATGAAGTCTGTAAAGTTACCAAAATTGCTGTGCTCTCACTTTCGGAAATGGAGCCTCAGGATCTGGAGCTCGAGGTAAGGTACCAACTCAGGAAGTTTTATGGAAGCTTGATATAAATATAATAGTGATTATGAAGATTTGGTTTAAGAGACCAGGATCATACAATTTTAGAGATGGATAATGTCTTTAAAAGAATCCTGTGATTTTCAGACTTCATCTTAGTAGTGCAACCTTTGTTTCAAAATCTGTGAAATCCAGTGTGTGAGGCGCAGGAGGGCAAACTGCTCTGGGTGAGGTGGTGATGGCAGCGTGGGGAGCTGCTGTGAGCATCGGGGTGCAGATTTTTGGTGGGCATTTCTTTTCTTTTCTCTTGGGTATATACCTAGGGGTGGAATTGCTGGGTCATATGGTAACTCTATGTGTAAACTTTTGAGGAGCTGCCACCCTTTTTCAAAGCAGTGTGCCATAAAAAAAAAAAAAGATCTATATAAGGATATGAAGAATCGGTAAGGTCCAAATAAATGAGAACCTAGACGTTGTTTCTTTTGGGAAAAAAATCCTTTAAAGTTTTATAGGCTTGTGTTTCATGTCTACATATCGTATTTGCCGTATCTCATTGCCTTAATAGATAACTGCATCATTTTCCATATTTAGTTTCCCATTAGACATCTGTTTAAAATTTTAGCTCCAGATGGACAGAGACAGATACCAACTTTCAAAGTAAAATAATTTATTTTTATTTCCTTAAACAGCAGGAAGCACATCAGCTCTTAATCTTGATTGTGGAATGTAAGTTGCTGGAATAATAGAAGAACCTGGGGAGCACTGTGGGGCTGGCAGTGGTGGTTTCCTTTTGGGGATCCTGTGCATCAGTGTTGTGATAAGGGCCTAAGCACACACTGCACAGAATTGGCCGGGCCTCTGGAAAAGGGAAGGTGATCCCACTGTCTACTCGATGTGCTGTGATCCCAAGAACTCTGTCTAAACAAAAGCATTTTAGGACTGCAAAGGATCCCAAGAAGTCATTTCCTCTGTCCATATTTTGTGGTAGGACCTAATTTAACCTTTTAAAAAAGATAGCTGTCTACACTTTCTTTTGTAGAGCTAACTGTATGGAAGATTCTAAAATATTCATTGAAAAGGTTTATGCTCAAAGTAATTCTAAATTTCTCTTTAGAAAAAATCACTTTTAAAAGGTAGAGATGGACCTTGAGTAAATGGTGAAGTGAGTTTGTACTTTGCTATGCAGGTCACAATTGTTATCTGAAATCTTTGGGGCAATATTTGTTTTAGAATTCAAGTTTTTCTGGGCGGGGGTTATTGAGAAGGTTATTCTGTGTATTTCATATATGCCCTGTGAGTCTGGGGTGTTACTCTACAATATAACACATTAATATTTCTTAAACAATTATATGAATATTCATACTAAGGGAGGTAAAGGATGACATCAGTAGCCTCATCTCAGTTTAGGGTACATTTTGGCATATTGTAAATGAATTGTAACAAACTTAAAAAATAAATTTTCAGACCTGAGAATTTTTTGGATTTTGGAGTTGCTGATAAGGAAGGAACTTGGGGGCATTGGGCATGTATCATTGGGCATTGGGCAAGCCCAGGAAGAGGATAGATAAAAAAAGAAAAGAAAAAGAAAGACAAGGAGACAGTGCTGGGCCTGGAGAGAAGTAGTATCTTCCTGGACCATGAGCAGTAGTTTGAACCGAGGCTGGAGGCCTCCTGGGCCCCGGATCCAGAAGCAGGCAGTGGCGGGGAGAGATCTGGCCCCTGCCCAGTAACGAGGAGTAAAAGGGCTGCGTGTGGGATGGAGGCCTGAGGCCAAGTGCAGTGCCTGAAGCCTGGTGCTGGGGGGCGCTCCCCAGCTCAGGAACGGAGGCTGCTAGGTCACCCACCCCAAGTGGGTGGTTGTGCACAGGAATTCTTCTGTCTGTTAAGCCAGTAGCACTTCTTTGAGAAACACTGGTGTGGGCAAATGGTAAGGATCCAGATTAGTGCAACAGCAATCAGGATTCCGTGGCTGGACTTGATAGGAGAGACTTTGGGAAGGAGAGTGATAGAAGATAACTGCTGGCTTTTGGCTTAAGTGATCCCATGGGTGGTGCAGTCATTGTCTGAGATGGGTGGGACCAGAGAAGCAACAAGATTTGAGAAACAGATGTTGGCCAGTTGGAGATGCTGAATTCGAGGGACTGGTGTGTCAGCGTTGTGTGTTAGGGTCTTGAGTGTAGAGCGAAAGATTGGAGTTAGACACCTGAAATTCAACATGCAGGTAGTTAAAATGAGGATGAAATCTTCTAGACAGAGCTTGAAGAACAGGAAGAGAGCTAGAGATGGAACATTGGGAGCCATCGTCCTCCCTAGCGATGAAAAGAAATGCCAGCCCAGGAGACTGAACAGCAAGTCAGATGTGGAAAGAACCCAGAGAGATTGGTAGCATGGGGACCAGAGGCAGAGATGGCAGGGAGGGGTCTTTCTTAGACAGAGAAAAGGGTTTTAGCCTTTCAGACCGAGGATGCCCTTGTCTTACTCTGCCTGAGCAGTGTCCTTGGGCCTGCCCTCTGACCTGCCCCAGTGAGACTCCGGACCTCTCAGTTCCTGGGACTCTGGCCCCCTTTGCACCCTGCAGATTCACCCGGGTGATTCCACAGTTGAGGAGTGGATTTTAAAAAAATTCTGGTAAACTTGAACGATGAGAGAGGCTGGAAACAGAAGAGGGGGTGAATGACAGGGTGAGGTCCTGATCCCAGGGGGCAAATGGCAGGAAACTAGCCTTGAAGAAGAAAACGATTCCCATCTTTCCCCGAGTGAGGAGCCTGTGGGTGCGGGCTAGGTGTGCTGCTACAAGATTATGGAGAACAGCTAGAGCTTCAGAATTGTCGTTGGTGCATTTCTAGGGGGAGATTTGCTGGCCTGAATGCTCTTAAGGGCAACTGTGTCTTACGAATACATAATACCCTGTTTTGAATATTAAGGTTGCAGTAATCTGTAACTAGGTTTGGAACATGTTTTCAGATTTTTTAAAGAAAGTGTTATTAATATAACTAGGTAATTATTGACATTCTATTAAAAATTGCTAACTGACAGTTGCTCTGCGCCATAAGCAGAGTGGCAGCAGTAGGGGACTCATGGGGAGAGCATCTTTTTAAAATCGCCTCTGTGCTGCCCCACTGACTCTACACGAGGGAGGGTGGGTGCGTGTGTGGTATGTTCACACAAGAAGGGGAGTGACGATTTTCCCAGGACTACTTACCAGTGTATGTCCCATGTGTGAATCTGGAGGTTACCACTTAGGTTTGTCGCACCAGAGCCCATTCATTCATTTAACAAATACTTACTGCAACCTCTTATACCCGATGCTGCTGGGACACTAGAGATATGAGTCAACAGAACAAAGATTGCTGCAATTATGGAGCTTACATTATAGTGGGGGATCAGAAAAGGAACATCAGTATAATAATTATGTAACGTCATATGTTGGAAGGTAATAAATGGTATGGTAAATAAAAGTTAGGCACAGTTAAGTAAGGATGGTGGGGAGAGTGCCCGGGGGTGGAGATTGTGGAAAGATATCTGGGCCAAGAGAACAGCTAGAACAAAGTCCCAGAGGCGGAAGCATTCCTGACACGTTGAGGAAACAGCTGGGAGGCCAGTGCGGATGGAGTGGAGTAAATAAGCAAGGGGAGGAGACACGTAGGAGGTGACCCCTGTGGGGGGAAGATGAGGGTCCAGTTTGGGACATGTTGAGTTTGAGGTGCCTGGTGGAAATCCAAGTAAAGATGCTGGGAGTTGTAAGGTTTGAGTTTTTGGAGAGAGCTGGGCTGGAAATACACATTTGGGAGAGAGGGGTTGAAATACAGGTGGTATTTGAATCCACGCAACTGGATGAAATCACTGGGAGAGTTAATGCAGATTAGAAAAGGGGTTAACAACGGAACCATGGGCTGCTGAGACATTAAAAAGTCAAAAGGTTGGAAAGGAACCAGTAAAACAGATAAAGAAAGTGACCAGTGAAGGGCAAGTGAAGACAGTGCGTCAAAGAGAGTGAGGGAGTGATGAACTGTCAAAGTTATTGAGAGGTTAAGCTAAGGACCAAGAATCCACTTCAGGGTCCAGGCAAGTGGAGGTCCTTGGTCCCACTGAAGACCGCAGTTTAGGCGGAGCGGGCTATGGGAAGACAACGGGAGAAGAGGAGCTGGAGGCAGTGAGGAGCACGAAGAAATAGGGCCTTCAGGTGAAGGTGGGAGAGGGGAGAGGCATTCGTACACTTGCAGTGGATGAGAATTACCCAGCAGAAAATAGGGGAGGAGAGAGAATTGCCGAAGCGGTGTCCGTCCACTGAGTTCTTCTGTCCTTCCCCATCAACTTCAGATCTTGTTAGTTTTGCTTATTGGGAGGCAGGTTGTTACTTGGTGTTGGCAGCAGGACTATGAATCTTTTCAACATCATCTTTAGTTCCTTTGCCTTTTTATTTTTTATTTCTAGAGAGAGGGGAAGGGAGAAAAACATGTACATGAGAGAAACATCAATCGGCTGCCTCTCACACACCCCCAGCTGTGGGCCCCGCCCTCAACGCAGACACTTGCTCTGACTGGGAATCGAACCAAACCAGTGGCCTTTGGGTGCTCACCCCACTGAACCACACCAGCCAGAACTGTCCCCTTGTCTTTAATGGGAGGGAGGAGCAGTAAGTTGTAATCGTGCTGTGAAACCCATGTGGATAGAGTTTTTGATAGCTCAAATTTTTGAAAAGGCATAGAATCCATATGATTCCATTACATCTGAAAACGTGGCCCAGTTATCAGCCTTCACTTCCAGTTTTTCTTCCAGCTTTATTGAGGTATAATTGACAAATAAAATGATTGATTTCCAAATTTGATACAACAGGGCTGTTCCTTCTCCTTAAAAAATTATAATTAAAGCTTGAACTAGCTTTTGTTCTCATTATACCTTTTTTTCATCCTTTGTGTCTAGTAACAGTTATTTTATTTCGTAAGTAAGCATTAGTTATTTTGCAAGTAAGCTCATAATAGACTACTACTTGGTATAGGAATAAAACTAATATGTTAAAAACATGAAATTGTCTGCATCTAGTTAACAGAATTCCTATGTACCTTTCTGAATATTCGCTTTGGATGTTGAGCCACATGAAATTATATGTAAAGCACTTGACATTGGCCAGGTAGTTGACTTCAGAACCTCCGTGCCCTTCTCTGCTCTTAACATGCCCCATCCTCTTCCTCGCCTGTGCCGGTTGGCCTGCATGTTTCCTGCAGTCTCTGCTTACTGCTTCTTCGAATGTGATCTTGGGACCCAAAGGGTATGGTCTTTGTTTATTGTGTTAGGGCGTGAGGTTAGGAGGAGAGGAAGTGGTTGAAATGTCCAGTTTTTAACATTCTCTGTCGAGCAAACTATCGATACCTTCTAGACCAGAACACTCAACTAACATGAGTGAATATTTAGCACAGATAGCGGTCAAATAATGCCCCTGGTGCACAGACAAATGTGTATTTTGCGATATATTAAATTTTAGATACCAATTTTTAAAGCATTAGTTAACCTCACCTGGAGTGTTTTATTCTTCTGTTATATTAACTAATTATGAGCCTAACCTGAATTTTCCACCCCTAAATCCTAAGTATTTCCTGTCCTGTATTCTTTGCTTATCCTCTACTGGAGTTTTCTAATCATTGGAAGCACACCTGTGTTTCCTGGTATCAGTTGTCTACTTACTTGGTCATTTTTGTAACTCTCAGGGTTTACTTTCAACTACAGTGCATGAGCCGTGGCATCCACTTCTGCACATACTTGAACATTTAACAAGCAGATATGAATAGTAACAAATTCTTTCTCTCCCCCTAATTATCTAGCTCTGCAAGAAGCATCATTTTGGACTTAACAAACCCGAGAAGATCATGCCGTCTCCTGATGACTCAAAGTTTCTTCTGAAGACCTTTACGCATATTAAATCCAATGTGTCTGCTCCTAATAAAAAGAAAGTAAGAGTTTAATGGATATGAGCTTGGGATTACTTTTTGATTAGTTTTAAACTGAGGAGTAGTTTTCTTGCCAGTAAACTTAGTTTCAAACCACTCGTCATATTTCAGCACTGTCTGTGCATGTCCTTAGGAAGGTGTGTGTTATCCACATAATGCTTTCCATTTAATTCCTGCAGTGACAGTAGATTCACTTTTTACAGGTTAAGGAAAGTAAAGAAAAGGAGAAGTTGGAAAGGAGATTACTCGAGGAGTTGCTGAAGATGTTCATGGACTCGGAATCCTTCTATTACAGCTTGACCTATGACTTGACCAATTCAGTGCAGAGGCAAAGCACTGGGGAGGGGGACCCTCGGCCCCTCTGGCAGAAGGTACCTGTCACGGTTCAGAGCAATTTATGGATTCATTTGGCTTTATAGGAAAACTGAAACAACAGGTTTCTGAACTGTTTACTCTCTACCTTTTCCAGGTCGATGACCGATTTTTTTGGAATAAATATATGATACAAGATCTTACTGAGATTGGTGTGAGTAGTTGTTTCTAAAATATTCCAAGATTGTCATAGTTAAGCAAATATTTTAAAGCTGTATTAAAATAAATTTAAAATCTGCCCTGGCTGGCGTAGCTCAGTGGATTGAGCGCGGGCTGGGAACCAAAGTGTCCCAGGTTCGATTCCCAGCCAGGGTACATGCTTGGGTTGCAGGCCATAACCCCCAGCAACCGCACATTGATGTTCCTCTCTCTCTCTCTCTCTCTCTCTCTCTCTCTCTCTCTTCCCTTTCTAAAAATAAATAAATAAAAAAATTTAAAAAAACCCTTAAAAATAAAATAAATTTAAAATCTCACTGTGATGTTTTCCCCTATAGAATGGGGATCGTTTAGCTAGGGAAAACCAAGGCATTTGGTATTTTTAAGGCGGTTCGCAGTTCTACCATGTAGCCACAGGCCTATCTTTTTAGCAGGTTCCCATGGGATAGTAGTAATTTAAGGCTGGGGCACTGATGTCCTCAGGGTTCCTATAAAAGAAGTATTTTGTTTACCCATTGGAAATGTTGAAGCCCAGTTGTCCTTGAATAATACCAAGTCATTTAGCTTTCCTGTTTCCTCATCTGGGAATCGCAGTAGACAAATCTCCAAGGACATTCCAGTGCTGCCAGTGTTTGAATCAGGAAAGATGGGGAGTATGATGAGGGTATTGCGTGAGATTCCTTCTGATTTGTGATCACTTTCTTCCTTTACTCTGTCACACACATTGGAGAATTATGACTGTCCACGGGCAGTTAATCCATTTACTCAGTCCATCAACAAGTGTTTGTGGAAGGCCTACTGGGTGCCAGTTATTGTTTTAGATACAAAGTGGGCAAATAGGTGATTAGAGTCATATATTATCTTTCTCTTAACCTTTCAAAAATTTCAAACTTTTTTCTTCTATTTGTCTGCCTTGGTGAAGATTAGTATAAATGATTTTGATCATCTAGGGACGCCTACCACTAGATACCTATCACGTCTCTGTCGAGAATGAGGCGTGAAAATGTTCTCAGCTCTCTTCTTGATGCCGGAACTATGACCACCAAAGCTCTGTGACAGGGGATGAGCAAGAAAAGTATCCGTGATGAGTATTTGTCCCGTTGGCTGACATACTGAGTTCTGTGTTTTGCAGAGTTTTTACATTACCATTAAAACTGATGACTTGCAATAAAGGAGGCATTTGGCAACATACACTTCTCTGTTCCGGTCAAGAGTTTTGCATTTATTGCTCAAAGAAAAAAAATACAAATGAGGGGAATGGTGATAAGAATAATGAATGTGGGCAGACCCCTCATTATTCTCCAGCACCTCCGTAAGGGTCCGTCTGCAGGCTCTGTAAATCACAGCTGTGAGCTGGGGCCTGGAGGTGTGGCCACGGAGGAGGAGGTGGATTGGGAGTTGGTGCTAAGATTAAGGCTAGGTAGCGTTGTGGAGGTAGGGGAGAAGGGGGGACTAAGAACCACTCTCCGAAGAGCTTTTTATTCTGTAGTGTCCCGGTATACAGTCAGTTGAGGAATGTGAGTATTCCAGTCCGAACGACATAGAAGAGGAAATCTCTAACTTTATTTAATACTGTCCTAATTATGTTAGATGGCATTTTAAAGTAAGATATTTATGGAAAGGAATTTTGGGGGTTTATTTACTACTTTTTGCTTGGCAAAGCACGTTTTTTTCTGTACAGGAAAACAGAGTAGACCTCTGTGTTCTCATAAGAAAGTGATCAGAGCTGGTTGTGTTTTATTAAAGGCACAATACAATTGGAAATTGAAAAGCAGTCTTTAAGTTTAGTTTTTCTGTTCCAACAGGTATAATCATAATCTCTACATTTGTTAAATGGTTACTATGAGCAGTCACTATGCCAAACACTGTTTACATTTTACTCATTTAATCTTCACAACAACCACATTGTGGGGTAGTAGTTTTTCCGGTTTTTCAAAGCGGAAAGTCCAGGCATTGATGAGGTGCAGTGATTCACCTGGTTGAGCTAGTAAGCGATGGAACTTGAATTTGTACTCTGGCTGGCTGGCTTCTATGCTCTGGTCCCTGTCAGGCGGCTCTTTCTCCAATAATCCTTATAAAAAAAGGAAAGGCTCTCAGCTCCCCTTCTTCCCTCCATTCCTTAGTGTTCTCCAGGAAGTGGAGAATGTGATTAAAGAATGGAAGGTTTCTGCTTCTAAGAAACTGGTAAATATATTCTAGCTACTGTTTGGGTTTAAGAAAGTAGCAGTGCTGTGTAGCATAGAAACAACATGATGCTCCTTTCGTTTCCAGACGCCAGATGTGGACTTCTGGGTCATCCCCATTATCCAAGGTTTTGTGCAGATCGAAGAACTTGTGGTTAATTATAATGAATCATCTGACGATGAGAAAAGCAGCCCAGAGACCCCACCTCAGGAGTCCACCTGTGTAGATGACATTCACCCACGATTTCTAGTGGCTCTCATTTCCCGCCGCAGTCGGCACAGAGCAGGTGCGTGCAGGGTGGTAATAGTGCGCAAATCAAATCCAGGCAAGAATGGAAAATCTGTGGGGGTGCTGAAATGCTGATGACGGTATGAATTTGGAAACACAGTTGGTTTCAAAGTGCTCCGTGACTCTGATGTGATTGGGAGCATATTATTGGAGAAAGGCGAATGGGGGAGAGTTAGCAAAAGGAGAAAGAAAGGAGATATATTTAGAAAGAAGAAAGTCACTTGGGATGTTCTAAAATATCATTGTTCCCACTGACGGGCTGGATCACAGTAATAAATCCTTCTTGACTGCTAGCACCTGTGAGAAAATTCTTATCTTTCAGTGCACAGCCGCTATCTTAGCTTCAACTGTAAAAAACGATGATGCATGCAGTTGTGATTTGGGGTAAATTGATACAGTTCTGCCTGACAGTTGCATATTAGATCCCCAAGGCTATCCTGAAAAAGGGACTTGGTTAAGAAGCATAATCTAGTCAGACTATATTTTTAAAAAATGTTGCTGTTTTCTGTTTTAATTTTTTTTAGGAATGCGCTATAAACGAAGAGGCGTGGATAAAAATGGAAATGTTGCAAATTACGTGGAGACTGAACAGCTAATTCACGTTCATAATCACACCTTGTCGTTTGTTCAGACACGAGGCTCCGTGCCCGTCTTTTGGAGCCAGGTTGGGTATCGATACAACCCGAGACCTCGGCTGGACAAGAGTGAGCATGTCAATCATTTAGTTTGCAAATGATGGTTTCAGACAGAGTATTTTTAAAAATATTAGATACTTTGCAGATTTGGCTTTGCATTGCCAGATGTTTCGTTCAAAACAATAACTCATATAGCACGAAATTTAGTGGAAAGTGATGTAAACACAATAATAATGGTTGTTGACAATTTAAGTAATTTAACAATAAAAAATTCCCCAACAATAGAGCAAAACAGCTTATTTCAAATTTTAAAGTATTGTTTCTTTGAAGAATACTTTATTGGATGTTTAATTTTAGAAAAGGGCAAAGGAAGCCACTATTTATAGAAGTGGGAAATATCTTAACATGGCATCTACAAGACGCTTTTTATTCAAATGTCTCACTGTGAAATGTTTGTTATTATTGTTGTTTTAATTACTGAGTATTTAATTTCTTTCAATATTTTAAATTTAGCTATTTTAATATTCTTTCAATGTTTTTAATATTCTTTCAATATTTTAGCTAGAATAGCTAGGTCATGCCAATCTAATTATATTACTGAATGAGGTTAATTTTTTAAATTGTTTACATAATATTTTTCTCTTAAAACTTAGTTTGTATTCCTGAGAATTTGGTAAAACCTCAGTCTTAATATCCTTGATTTAGATGAGTTTTTACTCTTTTATTATAAACCACATGAAACTTTTTCTGACAAGTAAGCTGGTAATGCAAATAATCTAATTTCACAATTTATAACTTATGTTTTGATTTAGTTTAATTGGAAAAAACCAAATCAGAAATCTTTGGCTTAGTATTTCATTTTAAAATATGGTTTTAGAAAATCCTAGTAACATTTGGGCTGTCAGTAAATTATTTAAAAACAAAAGTAAAGATGGAATAGACACTAATTTTTGTCTTAAACATGTGAAGGAAAAATAGATTTTGTATCACTTCTTTGTAGGTGAAAAGGAAACTGTTCCCTATTTCTGTGCCCACTTCGAAGAACAACTGAAAATTTACAAAAAACAGGTGGGCTTTGATCTGTAGTAGTAAATATTTCTTCATATTTAGAAATGGTTGTGTATCTGTTTCTTTAAATTTCATGAAAATAACAATGTACTATTCATAATTAAGCAACATGGCATTTGTCATGAAATTAGAGAGCGCATATAAGCTAAGAGTATTCTTGATATTTTTTCAGAAATATTGTCAGCTATTTTAGGCCATTTTTAGATAAAAAATTAGTCTACTATCAATTAGGATGATTTAAAAGTTATGTAGAGTAAGAAATAAAAAGCATTTTTCATTACTACCCATGTTGTTCTGCCTCCTGGAGAAAACAATTTGATATGTATCTTTCAGTATCTTTTTTCTCTGCCTACTTTTCTCATATATTCATGCGTTCATCTAGGAATGTGGTCATTTAAACCAAAATTAGATGAACTGTTAGGTGAAATATAAGTTCAATAAGATGACCAGATTTCAGATACAAGATTGAGCTACAACAGTCAGTAACTTATCCATTAGTTCCGACCAGTCAGAATGTGTAATGCCATGGAATGTATTTTTCCAACAGCAGTAAAAATAAAATAGGAAGTAATTACCTAAAATCTAATAAATGTACAAGAAAGATGTGGTGGGGGTGGGGAGAATTATTGAAGAAGAACACACAAAAACATCTGAATAAGTGGAGAGAAAATACCATGATCCTAGAAGGAAAGACCTAAAATTGTATAGATTTCAGTTCTTCTAAAATTAATATATAAGTTTTGTGCAGTCCCAAAGAAAGCCCTAGCAGGGAAATGAAAACCAAACTCCAAGACTGAAAAACACTATAAAGTTTGATAATAAGAGACGGAGGCAGCTATGTGGGGAAACGAGACTCGCGCACATTGCCGGAGGGAGGATAGGTTGTTGGTGCAGCCATTTTGAATGGTATTATCAAGAACAATAAAATATGCTCTGTTGTTAACCCAGTAAATTTGCTTCTCATACCTATCCTACATACCATAAACAAATATCAGTTCTAGATGGATATGGATTTAAATGTGTGAAGTTAAACAAAAACCTTTTAGAGCAAAATATAGAATATCTTTTTGACCTTGGGTGTTAAACTGGAATTGAAAAGCACTAGCCATAATGAAAAAAATTGATAAAATTGACCTTACTAAATTTTTAATTTTTATTAGAGTTTTCCTTGAAACTTTATCATAAGTATTAAATACTATTACAAATGTTATAAATATTATCTATTAAACCTTTATTGAAATGAAATAAGACTTTAAAAGCACCAACTAGAATGAAAAATTGATAAATTTGACTTTACTAAAATATCTTTTGTTTTTTAAGTATTTATTTTTAGACAGAAGTGAAGGGAGGGAGAAAGAGAGGGAGAGAAACATCAGTGTGTGGTTGCCTCTTGTGTGCCCCCCACTGGGGACCTGGCCTAAAACCCAGGCATGTGCCCTGACTGGGAATCGAACCAACAACCCTTTGGTTCTCAGACCAGCGCTCAATCCACTGAGCCACCATCAGCCAGGGCACTAAAATATCTTTTGATTATTAAAAGGCAGCGTTAAGAGAATGGAAATGCAATTTTCAAAGTGGGAGTATACTATCTAGAGTATATAAAACCCCCCTATAAACCCATGAAAAAAGGTGTACAATCCAAAAGAAAACTGGACAAAAGACTTGAACAGACTCTTCATAAGAGGAGATATCCACAAGGCCATTAAACGCATAAAAGGTGCTCCACTTCATTAATCATCAGGAAATACAAACTAAAACCACCATACACACACCAGAATGGCTAAAATAAAGATGGGAAATAACAGGTTTTGTCAAGGATGTGGGACAACTGGAATGCTAATACAAAATTTTTAAAATCTCCCTGAGAGAAATATGTGTTCAATCAAGGAGGCATGCATAAGAACATTCATTGGAGTATAAAAACAACCTAATTGTTCATCAGGAGGTCAGTGGATAAAGTACAGCACATGTGAAGTATTGAATACTAATGCTTAACCGTGATAAGATGTATCTCCATGCTAGTAACATGGAAAGATCTTAAAATCACATCCAGCCTGGAGTGAGAAAAGAAAATTGTGTAATAGCATATGGTATGTTGCTTCTTAAAAAATCCCCAAACCAGAATCATGTCATTCATATATATGTACTTCTCTTCCATATATGAGTGTTCTTACACATACGTGGCATGCTTGTTTATGTAGAAATGCATTTATGTGGCCTGAAAGGGTACACACCAAACTGTTAATGGGAGGTACCTCCAGGGAAAGCTGTGGAACTGGGCCGTGGTCAGAAGGATTCAACCTTTATCCACGTTTCAGTTTTTACAATGTGAGTAAATTCACATATTAGCAATATGTGTAGTTATAAGCGGTATTACAGAATAAACCACAATTTACATGCCACACATAATCAGAAAAATTGAAGCAACACTGAGGTGTGTAAGGGAGGCAGAAGGAATAAATTCTTCACCACCCTCGTTCCTGCTCCCTGTTGACTTTCAAGGCCTGTTTGTGCACATCAGTCTTACAGGAATGCATGTCGAGAGGACCTCCTCATTCCTTGCAGCACCCCAACCATGTCTGCTTATCCACCCTGCTCCCTGGGTAGTTGCTCTCTGGGAGGTGGGACCTTGGTGGGTATGACACGATGGCACCCCGCGGGCCTGTGTCTGTCCACTGGCAGTGGGGGCAGACGTGAGGGCAGGTCTGCTGGGAGCCTGCTGGGCAAGATTTCCTGCTCTGCTAAAGAGACACAGGAACAGCAATCCTGTGGTTGCTGTGTCCGGATTTGTTGTGGCGCTGCCGTAGTTACATCAAGCCCACAAAGGAACCAGCCTGAGGATTAACCAATTTGCTGGGGACGGCAGAACAAGTAGATGGAAAGAACGGGCATGAACAGCCACTGAATGAAGCAATTTTGGAATCATGCAACCGCCAGACTTTTTGTTCTGAGATTTGAGTCAGTGATTTGTCATTTGCAGCAAAACACACCTTGACACATGCACATATACACCTTCAAAATTTAGGGCAGAAGAGGGCCACCCCACGTACACTGTTCTGCAGCTGTTTCCACTTAGTACCTCGTGACTGTTGAACCACTTCTCCATTTGGGGGCCTTTCGGATATAGTTTTTTGCTCTTAAAAAAATTATCCAGAAGACACCTTTTACGTATTCTGTATGCTCTGTAGAATAAATTCTAGAAGTGAAATGGCTGGGTCAAACTGTCCGTGTGTACAAAGTTGGTACGTGTCACTCTGTTGCTCCCCACAAGGTCACACCAGTTCACACGCTCAGCAGAACGGCAGCCAGCGCCCGTGTCCCATATAGTCACCAGTGCTGTCTGTATTTAGCATTCAGTTTTTGCCTGTGTATAGGTGAAACTAGATTTCTGTTTTAAAATTTGTATTTCTCTGAGTATTAACAAGTTGTAGTCTCGTGTTTATTGCCCATTTGTGTGTTATGTCCTGTGAATATCCTCTGTATCCTTTACCCATTTTTTTCTTACTGATTTTATATTATTGGTTTTCATGTTACAGGTATGTTTCCCTAGGTGGTTCTCTTTGTTTGTTTCTGTTTTTTGATCTTTGTCATTTGTTACACAGAGGCTTTAAATTTTTATGTTGTCACATTTGTTCATCTTTTCCTTTATGCCTTCTGTTTATCTTATGCTTAGAAAGTTATGTTCCATCTTACATTATGGAAACGTCATCCCAAATTTTGTTCTAGCTTTTTTTATAACTTGAAGAAAAAATATTTAGGTCCTTAATGCATCTAAAATTTATTTCGTGTATAACGGGATGTAAGGAGCTAAAGTAAATTTTTCCTCCCTATGCAGATAATTATCCTGTTCCATTTATGGAATAACCCATATTTTTCAGAAGGATATGGTTATTATATCTTAGATTTCTCAACGTGCATAGGCCTGTTGCTAGGCCACCTGTCCTGTTCTGCTGAGTCACTCACTTCTGCCCTAGCACCGCAGTTTTAATTGCTATAGATTTAGAGTGTGTTTTGCTCTTCAATGGGACAAAGTCTTCTTTTATTATTATTAGCTTTCAAATTCTTTTCACATATTTACTGTTCCAGATGAACTAGAATTAACTTGTCAAGTCCATAGAAAAATCCTGATTGATTTTTAATTGGGATTGTTCGGTATGTAGATTAATCTGGGGAGACCTGACATCTTTACAGTGTTGCCATCTAGCACCATGGTGTGTCTCTTCAGTACTCAGGTTTTGTTTTATGTATTTAGGCAAAGTTATATAGTGTCCAATATGTGGGGCTTGTGTATGTCCTTTAAAAGTGATTTGCCTAGATATTTTAAAGATTTGCTGTTAAAAGGACCTTGTTTTCATTATGTATTCCAGTTGGTTACTTCAGATGTATAATGTATAAAAAAGCCATTAATGTCATTGATATAAGCAGTTCTTACAAAACTAGATGTAACAAACAAAAATCTGATTTTATAGGAAAATATTGATGCTTGAGGGGTTTATCTGCTTTCTAAGAGTAGCTATAAAATATTTCTAAAACATAATCCAAATGAATCACATTATGATTCTAACATCTGATTAAACTGATTTCCCCCCTCACTCTCATAGGTTATTATTAACTTGGTAGACCAGGCGGGAAGGGAGAAGATTATTGGGGATGCTTACCTGAAGCAGGTGCTGCTCTTCAACAACGCACAGCTTACTTACGTGTCTTTTGACTTCCACGAGCACTGGTAAGATGGCTTCCGAAAACGAGTTCTGATCGGTTCCAGTGGCTGTGGGACATGCTGTCACAGGAACCTAAGTTTCTCTTTATTGGGAAGAAACATTTCTTCTCGTTGGAAAGGGAAGGAGTATCATTTGTTTACTTTGCTTAAATTTCACATGGATTTTTTTTTTGGCTAAAGTTTTAACTTAATTGTTCCTGAAATATTTATACTCTTTCTGTTCCAAAATAACTTGGAGACCTAGAGTTCCATTTTTCCTTTTCTCATTTAATTAAAGAATTTCCGGAGTTTTACTTTTCTGCTTGAGTCTGAGCCTGGCAGAAGTAATAGAGTGCCCTTGCTTAAGGAAAATCATCCTGCTGGCCCATTTTTATGCTCTGTGAGTGACACTTCTTTCCCTTCGGACAAACCCCACTAGAATTTGCTCTAGGAAATCAGCAATTAGTGAACCATTATGTATTCTGAAAGTTAGGTTTGTTTTTTTTTTTGTCATGATCCCTGCTCTAATGAGGGTTTATTTACCTAACTATTGAAAATTTGGTGGAGGAGAAGCTTTTGATATCTTTATGTTTTAGTGTATTAAGTGTATTTTCTTCCACAATGCAGATTAGCCATAAACATTTCTATGATTGCCTATTTAGAACAGTGTTAACCTCGTGTACTAATAGTAATAATTTTCTTTAAACTATTATTAAAGATTTTTTTCTTTCTTTTGGCTTGCATTTCAGCCGAGGAATGAAGTTCGAGAATGTGCAAACGCTGACAGATGCCATTTATGACATTATTCTTGATATGAAGTGGTGTTGGTACGTATTTCTTATTTCATCAGAGGTCAGTTTGACAAACTCCTGCCCTGTGAAATCATGGCTATTTGTTTAGTACCAGTAAGTATCACAATAATAGCAGCAAGCTGAGAAAGCATTTTTGTTTTTCTTGTATTGCTTCCCAGTTCCTGTGCTGCTTTTTAAGAGAGTGTTAGTCAATAGGCATTGTTAGCTCAGACAAGGGAGAGGTGTGAGTTGGGCAAAGTGGAGTGGAACGCCCGATGACTATTCTTTAACTCTTTCTAATGCCTCAGAGTCTTAATTTTCTCTTTCTCCTTTCTTGCCACCCCTAACATGGAAGGAAAGCTTAGAGGAACTTGGTCTCAATTTTCAGGCATGTAAAACGATCAGAGAAGAGCAGTGTTTCTCAGACTACAGGAGGGAGATGCAGGAAGAAGAAGTTGCCGTAAATGACAGAAGAGAACTTCCGATTAGGCTTCATGCCACGGGTGGCCCGAGAAGTTAGAGGAGCAGGACGTGTTGCACGACTCCTCACTGGGTGGCAGAGCAAATGAGTCTGCTCCAGCTAGTTGAGACGTGCTTCCACTTGGATTCGAAAGGAGGGACGGGATGGTGTTTTAAAGTGCCTTTTGGCTTTAAATGTGCAGAAAAGCATAACACGGGGTTGTGTCAGCTCTGCTTAGTAGTTGTGTGACATAAGGCAAGTGACTCTTCACCTTATTTTTTTTTTCAAAATGGGGATAGTAATATCTTTCTCATTGAGTTGTGTAACTTCACAGTGTCTACAAAGAACTCAGTAATTTCTGCCCCATAATGGTTATCATAAGCAAACTGATAACCAGTGCTACTGTTCTTGTTGTTATGCTGTAAAGAATTGTGGTTTTTGAAAAACGAATTGTGAAATAATCCCCTACTATTGTTGAAAAGGGTGGATCAAGCTGGCGTAATATGCAAACAAGAAGGGATTTTTCGCGTCAATTGCATGGACTGCCTGGACCGCACCAACGTGGTCCAAGCTGCCATCGCCCGAGTGGTCATGGAGCAGCAGGTAATTTGGAGTCTGTTGGATTGCAAATACTCATTTTTAATTTTTTTCAAGTGTGAACAAATAACTAAAATCTTTGTTCTTTAGGACCTTTATGGCATACAAACAACCTTATTGCATTAAACCCGGAAGGCACAGTCTCACTATAAATACCTTGAATCAAGTGGCATTTTCTTAGGTACTTACTCCAAAAATGTGAGGCCCACATTTTAAAATTTAGTGGGTGGCACTATATTGGCATTTACCTTTTTCCCTCATTTCTGAACCTTCCCTTCTGTACTTGGAGCTGGGAGTTTGTACATTTCGTTTCTGCTTGGCCGGCGAGCTCTGGGCCAGGCCCTGCCGGTAGCAGGCACTAAAAGAAGGTTGTGAGGCTCGAGGAGGAAGAGGGACGCACATCCTCATCTGTGATATATTCCTGTCAGCAGCGCCATCTCTGGGGCCGTTGGTTCCTTCGGCACCGCAGGACCAGCCTCTTGCCTTTCTGCCCCAGTTGGTGGCACCTGCCTCCTGTAGCCATTGTGTCTGCTACCCGTGTCCCCCTTTAGATCTTCTGGGCCTCCGATACCTGAGTAACCAATTCCCAAGGTAGAAATTCCTAGCATAGTTTCTAGGTTGTTGTTTTTTTTTTTTTATGGAACCCAGTGACTCTCCGTTGAGGGTATGAGTCGGTCCCTTTTAGTGTCTCATTGGAGCAGGCAGGCTTTCGAGTCCAAGCCCTGGCCCTCCCACACATGAGGTGCTGATCCCATGCGAAGAACTTAAGCTCTCCCAACTTCTCTCTCCTCAGCTTTAAAATGGAGTAACAAGTGTCCTGGCTAGGTGGCTCACTTGGTTCGAGCGTCGTCCTGCACACTAAAAGGTTGTGGGTTTGATTCCTGGTCAGGGCACATAGCTGGACTGTGAGTTCAGTCCCTGCTGGGGGCATGTACAGAAGGCAACTGATCCATGTTTCTCTCTCATATACTGATGATTATCTCTCACTTGCTCTCTCCCTTCCTCCCTCTCTCTCTAAAAAAAATCAATAAACACATCCTTGGATGAGGATTAAAGTTTTCTAAAAAAAATAAAAAATAAATAAAATAAAATAAAATAAAATAAATAAAATGTAATAAGCATATTGATTGCATAGGGTTGTTATGAGGAGTAAATGAGATAATTATTTTAAACATGTCTTGGAACCCTAGCCCTAGAACAGAGTTAATATTTATTGGGCAATCAGTGCTCTGGTACTGTTAATTAATATTGCTGTTTCAATGCACTTTTCAAAAAAAAAATACTTATTTTTAGAGAGAGGGGAAGGGAGGAAGAGAAGGAGAGAGACATCGACATGCAGGAGAAACTTTGATCAGTTGCCTCTCGCATGCGCCCCAGCTGGGGACGGAGGCTGCGATCCAGGCATGTGTCCTGGCGGAGAACAGAACTGGCGACGCTTCACTCTGCGGAATGAGGACCAGGCAACTGAGTCCCACTGGCCAGGCCTCAGTGTGCTTTTTGATAATGTCACTTCATAAGCAAGTTTAAAACAAAGACAAAATACAATATGAGTGTGAACATTGAAAATCACACCAAAACACCATAAATATCTCCTACTTTTCACCTGTAGCAATTCATAAAATTATTTCTCAAGTGGTACTTTATTTTGAAAAAGTCTGAAGACACCTTTTATTTTATTGAAGGGTTCTAAATTGTATATGAACACAATTCCTGTTTCTGTAGTGTACATTTTATGCTATGGTGTCCTGGTTCATGTATCATTAATCCACTGATGTGTTCATTTTAGCTGAAAAAATTAGGCGTGATGCCCCCAGAGCAGCCACTACCGGTGAAGTGCAGCCGGATCTATCAGATAATGTGGGCCAACAACGGCGACTCCATTAGCAGGCAGTACGCTGGGACCGCTGCGCTGAAGGTAAGTCTTACCTGCAGCAAGCATTTGTGCACTGTTCTGTGGGACACGGGATGTGGTTTAAAACCATGTCTATTTTGAAGAGAAAGGTATATGGGCTACAGGTGGGAGTTGGCTTCGTCCTGCAAAGTTTGGCTAAGGCAGGGGGTCATATATTTTAAAAGATTTTATTTTTAGACAGAGGGGAAGGGAGGGAAAAAGAGAGAAATATCAATGTGTGGTTGTCTTTCACGTGGCCCCCACTGGGGATATGGCCTGCAACCCAGGCATGTGTCCTGACTGGGAATCAAACCGGCGATGCTTTGGTTCACAGGCCTGCGCTCAATCCACTGAGCTACACCAGCCAGGGCCATGCAAACCACTTTTGACATGTTCACTCAGTCATAGCACTTCCATACACTGCACAAATCTTTTTTTGTGTTTCAGTTGCATTTTTATTTTTCCTGAAATAATAAAGCATAATATGCCAAAAATGTTCATAATTTTTCCATCTTTAAAATTTAAAATGGCTACCCCCAAATTTACCCATTTTGATGTTTTTTTAAATGCATGATAATGTGAAAGGTGTTATAATACAGTCTAACAAAACTTTTGAATGAACTTAAAGACAACTAAGCACCACTAGAACCGTTCATTCATTGTTTGGAAAAAACAAAAGAACTTTTTGGCCAATACGTTGTCAGTGGGAATGTAAATTGGCATAGCCATTATGGAAACAGTAGTGAATTGGTGGTTACCAGATTTGGGGGAAAATTGGGAGATGTTCAAAAGGGGTAAACTGCATAAATTTGGGGGATCAAATGTACTGCATGGTAATAATCATTAACATAATGTATCATAGAATTGAAATTTCCTGAGAGAGTAGATCTTAAATGTTCTCCCCGCAAACACACACACACGGGAGTTATGTGAGGTGAGAGATGTATTAACTAGCCTTAATGTAATCAGTTTACAGTATATATACATATATCAAGTGATCATGTGGCACACCTTGAATTTACACAGTGCTGCTTGTCAGTTATCTCAGTAAAGCTGGAAAAATAAATACTTTTTTCTTTGACATTAAACTTTGGACTCCACATTTATGTGTCTCTCTTCTGTAATAGATATAGATTTAATTACTATTTTCTGTGAATGACTTAAGTAATTGGCAATATCTCCTTCCAAAATTGTGAATGTTGGGACAGGGGCTGTTTCTGCGATTGCCTTGGGCAGAAATAGTGGGGTTGGGGTGGGGGGAAAAGGGACTATGCTGTCCTTGCCTTAAGTTTAAGTCATGCCTCTCTAAGGACTTGCTCTGACACCCTTATAGGGGAAAAAGTTTTGACCTGTAAATTCTCAAAATTATACATATTGCAAAGAATGGTTTTACTTTAAAGCATTATCGAGCTGAAGATTTGTTGCTACAAATAGCGTGTTTAATTATTTGACATGCTTGGGTCAGAGTCAAATACTAGTAAATATTTTAATTTAACTACATTATTTGGAAATTATAAAAGCCTAAAGAATTCCAGTCTTGAACTAAAAGCCCATATCTACTTTGGGGACATTCTTATGTTTAAATAAATTGTCAAAATGACTTTTTCCTTGGCAGGGTGACTTTACGAGGACTGGAGAAAGGAAGTTAGCAGGAGTTATGAAAGATGGTGTTAACTCAGCAAATAGGTATTACCTGAATCGATTTAAGGATGCTTATAGGCAAGCTGTCATAGGTAAGGAATGTAAAAGCCTTTCTTTCTTTAAAATTTCTTATCCCTCTGTTTTTTAGAAACCAATTTTATTAATATAGTTAATGTGTTTTCTAATATACTTCTAAATGTGCTTCTATTTTAATCATCTTACTCAATGAATCTAATTCAAAACTTTAGAAGATTAGGATTTGATAAATTTTTTAGGCTGGAGCAACACACAAGAAACCATCAATTTTCATACATATTTTTCAGATTGCTGTTCATGTAACAGAAGGCAGGGCCGGGACTCCAGGAGTAAGGAGTAAGGGACCCTAAACCTTATCAGTGGAAAACTCCGTGTTCTATTTGTTTTTCTGTTACTCAAGTCTAAGAGATGCAACGAGATGATTTTCTTTCTTTCCATGACATTTATCGTGTGTTCTTGCTGTGGACGAATAGACCATCCTTTCTTCCCATTGGTGTGATTTAACAGGATTTTAGGGTATCTAGTTTAGAGGTGATCCTAACCAATTCTTAGTTGTTTTTTAGAAGGGCATGGAGGGTAGATTGCCCAGTGGCATGCTTCAAGTTTAATTTTCATTACAATACTACCTTATAGTATTAAAATAAATATAGAGTGTTCCGGATTAGAACCAAATGTAACACCTTATCCTATGGTGTCCAAAAGCTTTGTAAATCCAATTTTTTAACCTGATATTTATCCTTCATGAAACATTTAGGCTAGTTAGTAATTTGAGAAGTCTGATGTAGAGAAATTTGGTTCATTTGCCATAGACAGGGTATGTGCTGACGGGAAAACTGGATTTTAGCAGTTCATTGAAGGAAAAATAAGATGCCTTCCTTCTATTGGTTGATCTAGGGACTGAGTTATATCCTTGAGGACTCAGGTTCTGTCCCTGTCTCAGTTCTACCACCCACAGCATCAGCTTCATCCTAATCCTCAAGCTGGATCTCTTCAAGGTTGAGACAGAGAGGCCGGCGGCAGTCTGGGCTGTTGCTTCCCCTTGTAGGGCCGGTGGTGGCAGGTGTCTCCCACAAGCCTCCTCCAGTCGCTTCGTCCCAGACAACTGCAGGAAATGGGATTATAATGACTTGTTACAGTTTGAGCCACATGCCACACTAGGAAGAAGTTAGCTTGTCTATTCAGATTCTTTGCCCATTTTTAAATGGGCTCGTTTGTCTTTTCTTTTTCTTTCTTTTTTTTTCATTTGTCTTTTTATTCAGTTGTAGGAATTCTTTATGTTCTGGGTACAGGTCTTTTATCAGATATGATTTGTAAATATTCTTCCCCATTCTGTGAGTTGTCTTTTCCCTATCATGTTTATTTCCCTTTGAAACATAATAGTTTTTAATTTTAATGATGTTCAGTTTGTCTATTTTTTCTTTTGTTGTGATTTTAGTGTCCTATTAAGAAAAAAAAGAAACAAAACATGTCTAATCCAAGATCTCCAAGATTTACACTTACGTTTTCTTATAAGAGTTTAATGGCTTTAAGTCTCCCTTTTCTTTTGTTTTTTAAAAATGTATTAGTAGCCCTGGCTGGTGTGGCTCAGTGGATTGAGTGCTGGCCTGCAAAGCAAGGGGTTGCTGGTTCAATTCCCTGTTGGGGCACATGCCTGGGTTGTGGGCCAGGTTCCCAGTGCCGGGCGCATGAGAGGCAACCACACACTGATGTTTCTTTCCCTCTCTTTCTCCCTCCCTTTCCCTCTCTCTAAAAACAAACAAAAAATCTTTAAAAAAATAAATTAAAATGTATTAGTAAACTAAGATGATGTTAGATATTAACACTTTCTATTCTAGACTTGATGCAAGGCATTCCAGTGACAGAAGATCTTTATTCCATATTTAACAAGGAGAAAGAGCATGAAGCTTTGCATAAGGAAAATCAGAGAAGTCACCAGGAACTTATTAGCCAGCTCTTACAAAGTTACATGAAGTTACTGCTGCCTGACAATGAGAAGTTCCACGGGGGCTGGGCCCTCATTGACTGTGACCCCAGGTGAGTAGGAGTGGTGTCCTGTTAACTAATGTGTTTATTTTTCTGATGTTGCTAAGTTTTCAAAATTAACACTAGAACTTGTCCATGAAGCTGTGAGCATGGTGTGCGGTGAGCATGGATGCACGGTGCAAGGCAGTTTTCAAATACAGGGCGGGTACTAAGGCAAGCTGACCGAGGCTCTTGCCTTCGATCGTGATTGAGGGGGCACTAAAAAACTCAGTAATGATAAATATTTTAATGTAATATTTGACATTAAAAAAAGACACTTGTAAAACTGTGGTTAGCAGCCAGCTACACGGTTTCCCTCCTAGGAATCGAGGTTTATTGTGTTAACGCACATAACTCAGCAAGAGGTGCAGTGGTGCTACTTTGGTTGGTTGTAATGTGGTCCTGGCTTTTCTTAAAATAAATAGGCCACCTAATGCTTAACTTCCCTTTTAAAACAAAACCATCCAATTACAATCTTCATTATTATGGATTACAAACATTTAAGATAATTTTAGCTCTAAGAATAAAAGGTTCTATTTAGATTTTGCCTTATTTTCCATTTATTGTATTTTTTAAAGGTTTTATTTATTCATTTTTAGACAGAGGGGAAGGGAAAAGAGAGGGAGAGAAACATCTATGTGAGAGAGAAACATCGATTGGTTGCCTCCGGTACGTGCCCCAACTCAGACAAACCCACAACCCAGGCATGCACCCTGACTGGGAATCAAACTAGCAACCCTTCACTTTGTAGTACAGTGCCCAACCAACTGAGCCACAATGGCCAGGGCTGCATTTATTGTATTTTTAATAAAAGAGACATAAAACAAACTAGACAGAACAATTATGTGCAAGTATCATTTACATATATTAAAATGAATTTTTAAATTATTTACTGTAGGTTCATAGGGAAACTATGACTTTATAATTTCATGAATTATTTTGTTTTGTAGTCAATACTATAAGTATGGATGCAATTTGCTGACTCTTAATAGATGGGGTTTTCCTCACACATAATTTAGCAGAATATTTCTGTGCTCTTATAAGCATTTGGTAAAAATTTTTTTGAATCATGTACCTTGTTTTTTTTTTTTTTTAAATAGCAGACCAACTTAATCCAGCACCAAAAGAAGGGGGTAATACTTTTAATTCCCATTCAGAAATAAGTGCAGGTATCATGCCTGCATTTTGCTTGCGTGTTAACTTTGCACTTCAGTTTTTTAAAGGTGGCGTGATTGTCAATGTCATCTTCCTTAGAGAAGTATTTTTGTTTCTACTTTGGAGATAAGTGAAATAGGAAAAGACCGAAACGGTGCATGTCTGAAGCTGACTGCCAGAGACTAGTGCCTCGGTAGCCCCACTGTGGTCACGACCCTGTTTAAAGATCTGGCAGGAAGTTAATGGCAGGCAGTTTACAAATAGCCCTATGCTGGGCAGCAGGAACGACTGCTGTCCCCTTTTTCTTAACCTCCTAGCGCTCCAACTGGAACCGTCCAGCACGGCTCTGGCCGATTGCTTGGTTTCTGCTCTCAGAGCATACTTGGTGCCCACTCGCGGCCCCAGGCCTGTTTTTCTCTTCCAACGCTGAGCGCAGCTCGGCTCATTTCCCTATGGACAGCCTCTGGCGTGTACAGCTGAGACCTCTCCAGTCTCTCTGCGCCCTTTCGCTTGCGCCACCAGTTGCTGCAGAAAAGCTCTGAGCACCCGGCGGTGCACCGGGGCGCGGGGAGGAATCCTAATTGAAGTGGGAAGGGAAGTCAGCGCACTGCCCAAGTGCCCTTCAGCATCTCCGCAAAGCCCACTCTTTATTTTGCCCAGGGCATTTTCCACACGGACTGTCGATTACCACGTCTCCAATACCGGTTTTAGTGGAGCGGCGAGGCGGCAACGCTCAGGCAAGGGACCGTGCAGGGTACACACAGATGCTCGGTCTTGGGGACAGAGTCCACCTGCCAGGGTCCCCTCGAGCAGTGGGCAGAGGCCTTCACTAAGGCTCCTGTGAACTCCGGCAGGGTCGGGTGGGGTGTGCAGAACCTGCGACCACCTCGGCGCCCCTCCTGCCTGGGGCTGGGGTCTGTGATCCTGGGGGTCCCTCGGGCCGGGACCGGCCGCACTTGCGCGCTGGGCTCCTGCCGCGGCGGAAGTGGGCGGGCAGAAGCGCCGTAGTCCTGGGCGTGGCTTGGCGCGGCAACGCCGCGGTTGCCGTAGTTGCCGCGGGTGCCGCGGGTGCCGCGCTCGCCGCAGGCGGGGGAGCTAGGCTACGGCGGCTCTGACGGAGCTTGGACTCGCGTACAGACGGACGGACGGACGGGCTGACGAGATGCCGCGCTCCCACAGGCCTCCGCCCGCCTCTCAGCGGTCCGCCGGTGCCGCGGGCAAAGCCACCGAGCCTAAGCCTGAAGGCAGTAGCCTGGCGACAACTTTTAAGATTTTTCTCCTTTTTGCAGGGCTTATGGTTAAAGTTCCCGTGGGGTTATATTTTTCTTGTAAATTACTCCTTTTCCAAAGTCTCCTGTTAATGTCCCCTGACGACAGTGGCTTTTACGCGACCGTCGTCGCAGTGGTTGGGCTGCACGTGGTCCTGTCCGGTTTTGTCCTCGCGGCGTGGAAGGCGGGCCTGCCCGGGTGGTGGGAGAACAAGGGCGAGTAGAGCGGCCTTCGGAGCCGCGGGCGCGGGGGGAGGGGCGCGGCGCGGCCCCCGAGGGGGCTGCTGGCTTTCCTCGTGGGGCGGGGAGTCCTTCTGTTTGTGTGTGTGTGGGGGGGTGGGGAGGTCCAGTGTCCACCGCTGCGGACCCCGGTGAACTGCGGGTGGGGGGGGGCTGGCGTTTGCCGCGGCTGCCTGTGCTGTGCCAAGTGCTTTTTTCAAAGGACCTGATGTTTCTCACTGAGGATCACGTCTGGCTGATGTAAATATTAATGTCCAGTTAGGGAACTAGGACTAGGCGACCCTAGTTGACAGTACGGCATTTTTCATGTCAGTGTTGTGACGTGGTGATTTTTATCGCTCGACTCAAGCAACAGTTTTGAGAGTGCACGTAGGTATCGATGCGCAAAACTGAATCACAGCCTACGGTGCTTTTCTGCATTCACGGGGGAGCTGCTGGGATCTTTGAAATTGTGGGGTTTTTTTTCCCCTCCATGGACTGATTAGTTAGTGCCCCTAGTTCGGACCCATTGGTGTACTATCGGGTCCTCGCATCTTATCTCATTCGTTGTATTTCTGGGTACATTTCATTAGCTGAAAATTGGGAATTTGTTATTGTAGGCTAAGACTGTTGGGGTTACACTGCAACAAGGCGCTGCTGGTGTGAAACACTGCAGTTTAAGCTTTCGGTGAAATTTTCTCTGCAGTATGGGTCCGACAAGGACCTCATTCTGACGCAGATTAAATACGTGACTGAAATTCAGTGTACACATGAGTTTTCCCTTGGTTTTTCAGTAGCATTTTGATAAGTGTTGGCAAATAGGTATGGAATTCTGAGGCCGAATTATCCACTCTTGTAGTGGAATTTGGAGACTTATATAAGAACGCATATTAATTTCCACCTTTTGTTTGGAAAGGCTATTTCTTAATATTGGGTGAATATTAGATTAAAAATTCTATTTGAGGTCACATTCTCCCTGTGTTTAATCTGTTGATTATTTTTAGATTTTATACTTTGACTCTTATTTGTAATCTTTAAAAGATGTGCATTTTACTGTAGTTTTTGGTTTATCAACACTCATCCAGGGTTTAGACTTTATTTTGATACTTGATTTTAGAGTGGAGGTAAATATGGCAAAATGGACATAGAATAAGGAAATGTTTGCTGTTCTTTAAAAGCCAAGTAAATTAATCTGTAACGAGGAAAGGGCAAAGTAGCTTGGGCTCGGTTCCATTTTTGCACGTTATATTTATGTAAAGTTCTTTCAAGGGATGCATTCTACATGAACGTAAAAATTCCCTTCACGTGCAGTGTCATTTCAAAGGGTAGGTCATGTGAGATAATCTAGACTATTTCTTCCTTCTGAACGTCACATTTTTTTTCCAGTTCCCCCCTTTACTATGGCCAAATCCCCCCCCCCCCGTGCCCCCCATTATCCATTTCCCCTGCATTTCCATTCCCTCCCTCCTTCTTGGCTACCCCTCGGAGGAGGGACCTCTCTGCAGCTCCGGTCCGTCTTCCTTCCACCCTCCCCAAGCTGGATTCCTTTTTCTTTTTAAAAAGTTTCCAAATGGATAGATTGTACACATTTAATTTCAGAAGTAGGATGCATTGATTATTTGATTTCTCCCTCCCCTCCCCCACTCTTTTATGATAAGTGGCTCTCCTATAAAAATAAGCTTGGCAAAAATGTAGATGAGAATAAAAATACTTAACCACGTGTGTCGTGTTTGTCCAGCCTCATTGACGCCACTCACAGAGATGTGGACGTGCTGTTGCTGCTGTCTAACTCTGCCTACTACGTCGCCTAGTAAGTTGCTTATTGATCCAGAGCTTTTGGTTTTGTTTTTATATCTGAGTGAATGTCCATTTTAGGAAATTAAGAGTCTGGATTTGTTACGTATTTTGAGAAATGTCATTGAACCGCTGGACCTTACATAACTGTTGCATCACTCAGACTTTTTATTAATTTGAAAATGTTATGTTATAGTTGTATCAATGTGTTTATGTAATATTCCTTTAGCATTGAGTATTATTTCCTATATATCTCCTGAGTTTTGATGTCTTCCGCCTACTTTTTTATTGTTAATGACCATATATCATTGTTTTTACTACTGTGCCTTAGTTAAATGTTTCCCCGTTGTGAGGCATTGAAATAACTTTTTTTTTTTACTATTGTGAATGATACAGACAGCTACTTTGTGCTCATCATTTTGCGAGTGTGTTTGTGTGTGTACACACGAGCACACATGTACTTCTCTTTGGCTACGAGGTTATCATTTTGGTTATATCACTCGGTTACAGTAATGAGTGATAAGACTTTTGTGGTTTATTGCCAGACAATGCCACTAGCAAAAATACAAGTACTTTCTCATAGCCTTGCCTTTCCCTAATATTTACTTTCTTTTCAGCCTTGTGTGAACTGTCTTTTTTCTTTTTAGTCACTGGTCCAGGTCCCTGTTGGCATTGATCACATGGATTTTTCCTTCTTGATTAGGTTGTGATTCATCTGCTATTATTATTCACAAATACAGAGCTTCAGTATACGCACCTCTGTACTTTCTGCCTTCCTTTTAGGTTAAGGTTTAGGTTTGTTGGGTTTTGTTTTGTAAGAACTTTTTATAAAACTTACATTATTTTCCTGTGAATTGATTTCTGTAATGTAAGATCTATAAACTGATTTTCCTTTAGCTATTAACTATATATATGTTAATCTGGTTTCATCTAGTTTTAAAAATATTTGTTTAACTGTAGGTATTGCACTGTGGAAGATTTTTTCTTTTTTTAATATATTTTATTGATTATGCTATTACAGTTGTCCCGTTACCCCTCCTTCACTGTGGAAGATTTTTAACTGCATAGTAGTTGCTACTGTTATACCTCAGCTGACAAGACAAATATGCCTTTGATTTTAATCCTCTTTTTAATCCCTTTTCCTTTATCTAGTTATGATGATGAAGTTGATAAAGTAAACCAGTACCAACGACTAAGTCTAGAAGACCTGGAAAAAATAGAAATAGGTAAATGTTAAGATACTAACCAAGTCACAGAAAGCGAATGCTGTTTGTTCCAAGAGTAGGTCAGACTATTTATGCAGTCAGTAGAACCTCTTACTAGACCCGGAAAGGGGTGTTCCCAGTAGTCTGTTTTTCTAGGACTCCTTTCTGTTCTTTAGAGATTAGTGACAGATATAATCTATTAACTGTTTTTTATTACTTGTGAAGATTAACGCAGGGATCAAGAAAGTTTAAATATTTGAGACTGCAAAAGAGTTTTGATGAATAGTCTCATCAAACCAAATTGTCACAATAAGCTTATATTTTGGGTGCTTTTAGATTATGAAGAAAAAGGTGCTAGATATCTTTGAAGATTTAGGAGAAAGTAAAAGTTATGTGAAAGATTTACATATCTTCATTTGGGTCTTCAGGTCCTGAACCCACACTTTTTGGTAAGCCAAAGTTCTCCTGCATGCGACTGCACTACAGATGCAAAGAAGCCAGTGGCTATTTCCATACTCTGAGAGCTGTAATGCGCAATCCAGAAGAGGATGGGAAAGGTAATGAAGAGAGATGAAATTAATGAGTGATAACTTTTTATCTGCTCTTATAAGCCCTCATGGAATCGGGGGTACGTGCCATTACCAGCTAAATGATCCAGAGAAATAGCTTTGTGATTTGAGACCTTGAAATAGCAACTTTGTTCTCAGCAAGGCAGGGAGATTATTTGAACTGATGATATAGTTTGGGGCAAGGGAATCTATAATGGGAATTCTGTGTGTGTGTGGCCATGTGGATGCTGGGCTTTTCCCATCACATATGCCTCTAGTGGATCGTAGTCAGGGACCATGTCTGTCTTGTTCACAGCTATTACCTTGGCTTCCAGCACTTAACTGCAGTTCATCTGGTTCCTTTGCTCTTTATTTACTCTTCTGTTAAGTTGGTTTTAGATTACTGAATTAAGTGGGGGAGTAATAAGTAAGTAGCAGTTTTCTATAATTTGAAGGAAATAAATGTGTATTTAACTGGACTATCACAGATTTCATTTAGGATTCTGAGTTAGAACTGCTATTTTTTAGTATGTTTTTGGTGCAAGTGGCAAGCAATTATATTTGGGTTTCAGATACCCTTCAGTGCATTGCAGAGATGCTGCAGATCACCAAACAAGCCATGGGATTAGATGTACCTATAATTGAGAAAAAACTTGAGAGGTGAGTGTGCCACTTTGGTTTTCTCTCAAGATTAAACACATTACTATCCAAAGTCTTTCTTCTTTAAAAGTATTTGCACAGGTCTGGGATCACATTATGGTAATGAGTTGGTATTTAGAAAGGGAAGTATCACATCTCTGTAGATCAAAAAGTAAAACTTTTGGTTAAAATTACGGCCACATGTGGTATGTTTTTAAACTCTTAAAATATACTGGGGGGGGCACTCAAATTTAAATAACTTTGTAGAGAAAATAGCCAGTATATTTTAAACACTAGTTTTTTTTAATAGAATTATTTCTGTAGTTTTTAATGTAATTTTTATGAGTCTCATGACCAGCGATTCTGCATGACCAAGAGTCTCACATTCGAGATACCTGTGGCAGTAGCACAGTTCTTTGTATTTATAGCTGTTATGAGGGATGTCAAAAAAGAAACTGCTAAATTTAGTTGTGTTAAATGTCCCAGAACTTTTAAAATTCAGATAATCCATAGGAAACACCAGCCAACAAAATTCTTCCTCCCCCCACCTCTCTGCCTGAATGCAGCAACTAGAGTATGTGTGGACAGCTGTAGCTCCAGTGCTGCATGCAGATCCCCATTTACAGTTGGTGTCGCCTCGGCCCGTTTAGACCGTGGATGTGGAGCCTTTGAAATGTGATTAGCCTGAAATCTGGGTGTGGGGTGTTTTTTTTTTTTTTTCGGTGTTTTTGAGAAAAATTTATCCTCAGAACGTGCAAAAACATGGGCTGAGGCAGCAGTTGGGAAACTTCCCTCCCTTCCTCCGGTCTCCTGCCCCTCCTGTCCGAATGCCCTCGAGAGTACAGGTAAAGCACACAGGCAGCAGCAGACAGCGGCCCGCTCTGAAGCCCGCCAGGAAGAGCTGCACTGAGTGGGCTTAGGACACTGCAGGCGCGGTTGTGTTTCCCCAGCGTGGCTCTCTGTCGCACTTGATGCTTGCCTGAGGACGCTGAGGGCAGAGCACGCGTGGGAGAGGTCTCTGGCCTGTTTGCTGCACTTGGGGTTAGAGTCACACGGCCAGGCCACCGTTCCCCCTCGATGCCTGGGAACCACTCACCGATGTCACGTACAAAGGCTTCTGCTGCCGGCCTGTAAACTACCGCCCACTGACTGCGTCAGAGACTTAGTAGGAAAAAGAGTGAGATGTACCTGGTTATCTTTTAATACTGGTTATCTGCTAAAATGACATTTTGTATATATTGGCTTAATTTAAGTAAAATACTATTAAAATTCATTTCACATGTTTAATATGGCTGCTAGAAAATTTTCAACTACATCCACAGCTCACATATTTCTATTGCGCAGTTCTGTTCTGTCAACTCCAAGGGTATTCTGAGTTTATCAATTAGCAGTTGTCAGGAAATTGGAGCCAATTTAAATAACAGCATTTGCACTTTAATAATTGGAACTATTATGTTGAATTCCATGGGGAATTAACTTTTTTCTCTTCTAATTTGTAGGAAGAGCAGTAAACCTCATGAAGACATTATTGGCATCAGATCTCAAAACCAAGGCTCTCTGGCCCAAGGAAAAAATTTTCTAATGAGCAAATTTTCATCTCTAAATCAAAAAGTGAAACAGACCAAATCCAATGTAAATATTGGCAACCTACGAAGGCTAGGAAATTTTGCAAAACCTGAAATGAAGGTTAATTTTCTAAAACCAAATTTAAAAGTAAATCTTTGGAAATCAGATAGTAGTCTTGAAACCATGGAAAACACAAGTGTGATGGATAGTAAAGTCCAGGCAGAGTCTGATGGGGAAATGTCTTCAGATAACGACTCCTACCACTCTGATGAATTCCTTACAAATTCCAAGTCTGACGAAGACAGACAGCTAGCTAGTTCTCTAGAGAACATAGGGCCGGTAGACTATGTTCTTCCCAGTTGTGGCATTATTGCTTCAGCACCTCGGTTAGGCAGCCGGTCCCAGTCCATTAGCAGCACTGACATTAGCATTCATGCTCCTTCAGAGATTACTGTTGCCGCTCATGGAAGTGAGCTTGGAAAACGCTGTGAAGCTCCTTTGAAAAAAAGTCCTTCTGCTGATTATATACACACATTGACTGGCTTTGCCAAGCCTGTGGATATTTACTGCCACAGATTTGTACAAGATGCGCAAAACAAGATGACCCAACTATCAGAAACCAGATCTGTTTCTCAGCAGGCTAGTGAGGAAGGAAATCAAACGACCAATCAAGTTTCTAATGAAGAAACCCAATCTGAATCAACGGAACAGATACCGTCTCGACCATCTCAGTTAGATGTGTCTTTCTCTGCAGCAGGCCCACAGTTTTTGTCTGTTGAACCGGTGCATTCAGTGGTATCTCAAAAGAACCCCGGCTCTGGATCCAGCGTGCTTGAACTTGAGACAGGACTTCACGTAACTCCTTCTCCTTCAGAGAGCAGCGGCAGCAGAGCAGTGTCCCCCTTCGCAAAGATCCGGAGTTCCATGGTCCAGGTCGCTAACATGACCCAAGCCGGGCTAACCCAGGGGATCAACTTTGCGGTGGCCAGGGTTCAGAAGAGCCCTGCAGAGCCTGAAGTGGTTAATGAAGTCCAGCAAAATGAACTTAAAAATATGTTTACACAGTGCCAGACACGAATAATTCAGATTTAGTTCACAGTCACAAAGAATCCTGTGGCTTTTACTTAATCTGCCCCCTCTAAAAAAAAAGTTTCACATATTAGGCTCTTTTAACCTGTACTGACTTGGAATCTAGGGATCTTAAATTGTCAGTTGGGAACGGTTGTCACAACTTTCTAAATTTGAGAGGACAACAGAAGTACGTCATCCTACAATGTGTAGGCCCGAGTAGCTGATACACTACAGAGCAGTTTGTCTCTTTGAAGGTAATTCAGGAATAGATTACTTTGGGACGTAATCACCTGGACCTTTTTGGGAGTGGGTGAGTAGGTGGGATGGGAGGGTTCAGTGTATGAAGTGGACACAGGATGGTCATGGATGCATTTAGGGATTAGCATTTTTTATTTTTCTTCATTTCTGTGTTACCTCTACAAGGTAATACATTTAGTTTTTAGTGACTTTAAAAGTGTTGCTAATATGGAGAAGCATTTGGAAATTTAAAAGTTGGTTTTGTTTTGATGGCTTAACCATTCCCTATGAAGAATTGAAGGTTATTGGCATAGTCAAGAAGTATCTGCCCATTTAATCCTAATTTTCCCCTTCTAAACAAACTTTAAATTTTCTGCCACCTTGTACACCCCAAAGTCTAGGAGCATTAAGACATGTCAGTCAAAACCCTGAGACATCAGATGTGAATACCAGCACCTATTAATTTTGCTGTTTTCAGGTAAGAACGTACACTTACTGGATATTATTAATTCTTAAAAGTCTTCAAGTTTTAATTTTCTGTAGGAGTCATTCCTTAACATCTTGTATACACTATTACAACTATTGAAACTTAGTCTGAGCACAGTTGTGCTGTAAGTTGGTTTCATGACTGTAAACCTGACCACATGGAACAGGGCCTCTTCTGTAAGCCCATACGTTAGGAAAGTTGCACAGTTTATTCCAAACAAGTATTGGTTTGTCTGGTATCTTTAGAGCCTTACTCTGTTGAAGTGATTCTCAGCTAAACATTATGTCTGTTGTAACTTTGATAAGTATTTCCACTTTTGTTATTTATTAGCGGTGTCTTTTTGTGTGTGTGTGTGTGAAGTATCAAATCTTGTGACTATTTAAAAATAAAGTACAGTTGTAATTTAAAATGACAATGTATGAGAATTTCTTGAATAACATTTTAAAGATAAAGGTTTGGTTTTTGAATCAGATTGAAGACTTCATAGGCAAGTTTTCTATAACTAAACACTTGGTCCTAGCCTTCCCAAATATTTTACTCTTGAAGTATTTTCATTTAAAAAAATGATGAAATGGTTCACAAACCACCAAATTTTAAAATCCAAACACTGAAAATGAATGTTTTATCATGTTCTTTACCAACTTTTCTTAAATATATTAACTGTCCCACAGCATGAGAAAATGTAAGTTATGATAAAATGTGTTTTAAGCTCCACAGAAATTAGTTTCAAAGAGATTTTTGAAAACTAAAATTAAGGTGATTTTTAATTCCAGTGACGGTAACGTCTGTTCAGTTTCTTGGTGATGGACGTAGATTAACATCACGTTAGCCTGACAGCTGTGACGCCCACGTGTGCAGCAGGGGAGGAAAGGACTTCGGAAGCCTGGGGGTCTCTCCGGCCCTGCCCGCTTCCAGCGGGACGGAGTCCGAGGACGTGGTTTTCCACAAGACGCAGCAGGATCCCCTCCACACAGACCACATGGGATGAGTTTTATTTCTTTGAAAGAGGGTTTTCCTTTCAAGGGAACTTTTCTGCTAGACCGCACTCCTCTGGTGTAGTTTTACACTTCACATTGGTACAATAAACACACGGTCACTAGTCTACTCTGTTGAAGTTTATTCCCATAAATCCATTGAGGGTTCATTTCTAAAAGTTTAAGGAAGGTCTAGTCCAGGGGTGTCAGACTCATTCACCAGGGGCCACATCAGCCTCGTGGTCGCCTTCAAAGGGCTGAAATAATTTTGGGGCCATATAAATGCAACTACTCCTTAACAGTGAAAGAGTTGAAATTATGTTCGGCCCTTTGAAGGCGGCCTCAGGGCTGATGGGGCCCCTGGCGAAAATGAGTCTGACACCCCTGGTATAGTCTGAGTTACAAAAATGAAAACCAGTCCAGAATACTAAATATAAACAATTATTTACATTAGTTTATAAAAATAGATTTGAATCTAGGAAAAGTGAAACAACTAGTAAATTTTCACTTTCACTTGTTAGGCATAGTAAATTCCTTAATTTTTTCAAAGCTGACCCTGTTTCCTTGGTTAGCAATGTCAATTTAGGCCTGGCGGGTAGAATTGAGGGAATCGTTTTAACTGAACTCTTAATGTTCCAATTAGGTAAGTTACTGACTGAAATAAATTAATCTTTACATACAACCACTGATTGCTTAAGTAATGCTCTAACTTTTCCAAACATTCTGGATTCCATAATTAAAATGTACAACTTTGATTTGCTTTCTAGCCATAAATGATATTTTTGTTCATTTAAAAACTTATGTAAAAATGAATTGGTCTGAGGAAAACCCTACTTACAGTTTTATCAGGGCATTCTAGACTAGCAGATAACGTTAGTTCAGCCATTAAAGTTCAAAATCTAATACAATCATTAAAGCAACTAAATGACATTAGGAAAAGAATTTAAAATCTTTTTTTCTATAGAAGGCACTTTTAAAAAGTTTAGTTTTTTTGTTCTCTTTATATCTGGGCAAAACAACTTCATAGGGCAGAATTTGCTTAAGTGTGTTCCCATAAAACAGTGGTTCCCAAATGCACTGGGGTGAAATGAGAAAAATAAGGACAATGGAGTGTTTTTTCAAAAAGCTACATTTATTCCATTTAAAGGAGTATCTCATTCTGAGATTTTCCTCTTATGAAAAAAATAATGGTGATAATACAGTGATTTCTTTCAGGTAACTTGGCAAAATAAATTGGCAACCTTGTCCATCTCAAATTTTTGAGAAACATTATTATTGGTCTGTGAATTCCAAAAGTATGGGAACCACTGCCACGTGAAAGACTAGTTTCACAGGTTAACAACGATTAAATAGGAAAACGGTTCCATGATCAGATGTTTGGGAAGTCCTGTGAAATTCTGTGGTTTCATTTCCCAAACATTCAACCACTAAACACATTCAGATCCACTGTTAACTGGAAAGACGTAAAAATCTGAAGTGAACAATTCCAGACTTCAGAATTGCTACGATTTTCTTCAAATGACGCTGATGCTAGCATTTTAACAGAATCTGGCCTATGACTTAGCTGAAGCTAAGGAAATGGTATAATAAACAACATTATCTTATCAATATTAAACTTTTAATATCAAATACATTTTTTGTACATTGTTACTAATTTATATAATTATAAAACAAACTCCAAAAGCTCCATAAAACCAGCAAGGTAAAAGCCCTTACTGAATATGATATAAACTTCAGATGTCACCAGGCTTGATTTCAGGAAAAGTCATTGGTTTTTTGATACAAATTATCTACAAAACAATGTGGTATAAATGATATTTGAATTGTACAATAATGTGGCTACAGTTTGCCCATTACTCTTCCACAGGCATCAGATTTTTAAAGTTCATTTCCATTCACATATTTCTGCTGCTGAAGCCTGGTTCTTCTCAGAGACTCTAGCTGCTTTGCTCTCAGCCACCGTTCCCTCGACAGTGTGGTCTGGCCGGCACTGAGAGACAGAAACCTGCGTCGGGGGAGAGACACAACTTAAGTCCAGGCCTAGGAGAGTAGTGGTCCTGTGTTTTTTCATTTTTAAGAGCTGAGCATACTGGTTTAGGAGACAAGATCTCTAGCAGGGACACAAAGAAGTCAAGAGCAAAGTCAGACTTCTACAAGGGAATTTTTTAAGGCAAATCTGGAGGATGACTCACTTGCAGAAGCTTGAAGGACAAGCAGCGCGCTGGGTGGTTCCCCGGGAGCAGTCACGGGCCACACACACCGCCACTTCACAAGGTGTTTTTAAAAGGAAAAAGTCCCTTCCTCTCCGTGGAGGTCTACCTCAGGTATTACTAGATAAACCAGGGGCTGTACTCACGCCTCCCTTTAACCGAGTTGGTGCGGCCAGGCACACTCACCGAGCTACGACGAGCAGCTGGTGGAGGTCGTCAGCAGTGATGCTCTGAGGGTCGTTCTTGCGCATTTCCACAAAGTCGTCTTCCACTGCCTGTATCAAAAGGGTAAATGGACTTTAACACCATTCCTCAGGAGGAAACGACATCTGTATTTAACAGGGGACAGGGAAGTAGTGCGGTCCCTGACTGACGTGGTCCCTGCTTCTTAGACAAATGAGATGACCCAGGTGGAAGGGTCACCAAACTTTGCACGTACAGACAACGCTACTGCTGAAGGTATTCCACACAAAGCAAAATCAGATTCATCTGAGAAGACCAGGCAGGCAGGCATGCCAGCAGTGTGCGTAGCGAGCAGGGCGACTTTAAACCCAGGGAAGAATGACGGCAGCAAAAACGGCGTAGTGCAGGCCTCTGAAAATTCTCTCCGCCATTAAAGGGAGTAAGAACACCAGTAAAAACGATCAACGTCAGCTTCTTCAAAACTGGAAATCAACCAGACGCTTCGCAGCAATCTGAGCAGCATTTATTCAAGACGGTGAGAACACTGAGCTTTGAGGAATTTTACCTTGGCCTATTCCCCAGCCCACCTCCCAAGCAGCCCTGAAAGCGGACAGCCTGGCAACCCCCAAAGAAGACAGTGGATCCGAGGACTGGCATCATTTGGCTGGCAGGTGGTTCCCTGGAAGAACCCATTTGCAAAGCTGTCTGTCACCTGCCTTGAAGCTTGCCCGGCAGGCAGGAACAGCCTCCCCCTCCCCCGAAATCAGAAGCACTTATTATCTCAGCTGCCTCAGGCACTGGATAATATTGGGGCAAACAGCAGGCTAACGGAAAGCCTTAAAAGGATAAATAGGGAATGAGATGTCCATGTGTATGTGAGAGACAGAAATAAACTGCCAGGAATTTAGAAGGTCACATGCATGCGCAGGTCTGTGTGCATGCTCAGCTCTGAGCAGGCCCTAAGCTCACACCTCTGAATAACCTTGAGACTCTGCAAGCAGAAAGCGAAGGCAGGCTAGCCCCAACGTGGATACAGGGCCCCGTGGCTGAGACTGGGCAACATCCAGCTTCCGGGCAGTTAGGGAAATTAAATTTCTATCCAATCAATGACCACTAAGCTAACAGAGCAGAGACTCCAGTGCCCACATTCAACAAAGAACACAAACTATAGACTTAATTCAGAGAAGTCGTTATACAACAACAAGCCCTAGGGAGGGAGGGAGGGCAATCTGGCAATCTCAGCGAAGTTGCCACGTGGTCGTATTTAAAACAACACAATCAGGAGACACACAAAGAGACAAGAATGTATAACTCATTCACTGGACAAAGAGAAGTCAATAGAAACTGTCCTTGAAGAAATCCAAACATTGGACTTACTAGAGAAAGACTTTAAATCAGCCATTTAAATACATTCAAAGAACTATGGGAGGCCATGTGTAAGTAACTAAAAGAAAACATGAAATTCATCATGTTTCACCAAATAAAAATATCGATAGGAATTATTTTAAAAGCAAATAGAAATTCTGAAGTTGAGAAACATAGCTGAAATCTAAATTTCACTACACAGGCTCAACAGCGGACTTGAGGCAGAAGAAAGAGCAGCCAAGTTTCTGCCGGGGCAGCCGAGATCACCCGGTCCGTGGGACAGACGGCAAGGAAGGACGAGGTCGCACGAACGGACCCTCGAAGACGTGTGGGGCAGCACCACAGGTGCCAACATCCATACAGGGGCGCAGCAGGGGGAAGGAGAGGGAACGGGTAGAAAGAATTTTTAAAGAAAGAATGGTCAAAACTTACCAAATTTCTTGACAACTCTCCTAAAATGTGCATTAATCTGCACATCCAAGACACTCAACTCCAAGCGGGAAAACTCAAAGAAATTCACACCCAGACACATCAGAGTTAAGCCGTCAAAAGCCAAAGAGAGAATCTTGAAAGAACAAGAAAAAAATGACTCATGTACAAAGAATCCTCTCGTCAGAAACAATAGAGGCCAAAGACGGTTGGAGGAATTTTTAAAAAAAGATTTTGTTTTTGTATCT